TAGTCAATACATACATGTTTGTAATCAATTGTGATTCTCTATATTTATTAATACAATTATACAAGTGTTCCGTCAAAGCAATCCTTGGGAACCCCTGGCCAGGGATGACTTGTTTTGGATGAACAGACACCGGGCGCTCATTGAGCAGACGGCCGCACATAAAACGGACGCACAGATCATATGGGTTGGCGACTCCATCACCGAGGACTGGGGCTCTCAGGGGAAGGAAGTGTGGAACAAGTATTACGCGCCCAGACATGCGTACAATTACGGCATATCGGGGGACAAGACTGAGAATCTGATCCATAGATTAAGAAATGGTGAGTTGGATGGACTCAACCCGAAAATCACAGTCCTTATGATCGGTCAGTCATTTGATTTGCTGTGAAATTGCATTACAAATGAATTTTAAACCAAAGGTACGAATAATATCGGATGGGGTGATAGGGTTGAGGACATCGCCCGTGGAGTGGAAGTGATTGTCAATGAATTGTTGGCCAAAATGTCGGACACTAAACTCATTTTGTTAGGAGTACTCCCAATGGTTGAGTCGTGTAATGCCAGAGTGAGAAAGGTTAATTCATTGAACAAGAAGTTAAATAACGATAGGAATGTCTTTTTCCTGGACATGTGGTCATCATTTGAGGGCACAGTTGGCAAACAAAACACAGAACTCTATGCGTACGACAGACTACATCTCAATGAGAAAGGATATGAGTTGTGGCACAAGACTATGGAACCACTGCTTAAGAAGTTGGACCCAAATCTATACTAAAATTTTGTGCTGGTTCATAAAATTAATTATTTTGCCTTTTAATTGCTTTATAATAAAACAATACTTATTTAAATTATGATTATACAGTACTAAACCCGGTTATCATCAAAATGTACTAGACATATTCTTGAATAATACATAAACTTGTGAACTTTGGATATTAAAAGTTCCCAGGATATTATTAGCTAGAATGCCCAGAATAATAAATTCCAATGTACAGATGTACTGTAAAGTAAAAATAAAATATAATAACTCTGTAAACAATTAAGAAATAAAATTAAAGTTCTCGTAAGAAATTTCTAACCAATGATTGCATAAATTGGTTCATAAATCAAAATATTATCTCCTGGTTGGAAAAATAAATACTATTTTAAGCGTTCAAAAGCATTTCATTATATTAGCTATAATATAATGATTTTGAAATTCATTAATCTCTACGAACTATACAATGATTAGAGTATTCAATACTATTTTACATCCTTTAATTAATCCTTACAGTAATTCGTATGAATTATGGCTTAATGAGTGAAAATTGTCTACTATTTAAACGCATGTTTAAAAGCAAATAATCCAATTGTTTTCTAATTAACTAGAAATCTATACTACAATTATGCTGTCATTAATAGTTGTATCGGTTTTAGTATTGGGAATATCGGCCGAAAGCCATCCCTGAGACCCACAACCACGAGATGAGGGTTGGCTTAAAAGACACGAGGCTTTGGTTAACCAAACTCTTCAGCATAAGACCGACGACCAGATTGTGTTTGTCGGCGATTCAATCACTCAGGGCTGGAGTGGCAATGGAAAGGCTGTTTGTGCCAAATACTATACCCCTCGACACGCTTTCAATGACGGCATCGGTGGTGATCGGACTCANATTCAATCACTCAGGGCTGGAGTGGCAATGGAAAGGCTGTTTGTGCCAAATACTATACCCCTCGACACGCTTTCAATGACGGCATCGGTGGTGATCGGACTCAACACGTGATCTACAGAATTCAAAATAAGGAATTTGATGGACTCGACCCCAAAGCCACAATTCTCACGATTGGTTTGTAAACATATATAATATAAGTTTAAAATATGAACCATTTATAAATAAATGAATTCAAATATATCAAATCCAGATATATTTAATCTCACAAATATTTAATCTTATAAGCAACTTTACATTGCTTACGACTAAAGTATAGAAAGTACTGAAATATTGTTTATAAGATTAAATATTTGTGAGACTGGATTTGATATATCTTAATTGAAATTACAAAATGAAATTCACAAACAATTTCGGCGATACGGTTGAGGACATCGCACATGGAGTTAACGAAACTGTGAAGCAATTGTTGGGCAAAATGCCGAACACTCGGCTTATTCTGTTGGGAATACTGCCCAGAGAAGAGCCATTGGGCGCTAAAATGAAAGGTCAATGAATTGATCGCGACATTAAATAACGATCAAAATGTCTTCTTCCTGGACATGTGGTCAGCCTATGAGAGTCCGGATGGCAAACAACACACAGAGCTCTATGCGACCGGATCTACACTACATCTCAGTGGGAAGGGGTATGAGATGTGGCACAAGACTATGGAACCACTGCTTAAGAAGTTGGACCCAACTCTTAAACTATAATTAAATGTGTTTCCTTTGAATCAAATTATTTGTATTAATGTTTAATTTCTAGAATAAAAGTTATTAATAATCAACTCTTAAAGGTTAGGCCATTCATTATGTCATATACTTTGCATTACAATGCAATACATAAACTACTTTTTGAATTTTTGATTACACATTGTAACATTGGTACTTTATGTACTCTCTATCCCAGTAATAAGAGTTGTCAACACATTTTTCATAGATTAGCACTAGATTTATATTAGATATATGAAGAGATACGTATATGAAAGGCTTTTCAGGACAAGGACCAAGGTATTTTAATTTACTCAAGTTTTCTCAGTGATGCTGCGCACAATTTCCAAAAATCAGAACTTACCTTGATCTTTTAGTTTTTAAGTTATTGGTGGACAGTCATATCTACCCTTCCCTTTATGTGTGAATAAAATTGGACATATCGATCGATTGGTTCCAGAAAACAATTGCAAAATTTTTTATTTTGTTCTCGCACAATTCAACAATTTTAAAATCTAAATAAACGACTAAATACCCTTTTGTCAATCACTTTACGTATATCTAATTCAGTGATGAAACTAACATCTAAATGTGGTTTTCTTTTTATTTAGGTTTGAAATATAAAAATAAAAATAAAATCCAGTCATTAATCCTTAGTTAGGATAATAATTTTTTATTATTTTATATTAAAAACTTAAATTTTTTTATGGTAATACTAAAAATTATTAATTTAGACATAAGTTATCGAGTTTGACACATCATTTAAAAATAAATGTTATTTTATTGCAAATACTTAACTTTCAAAGAATTTCTAGCTATTTCTAGCTAAAATGTACTAGCTATTTTTCCAACCAAACTTGAGGTTTTACTATGATACCTCAATTCCCAAATGATACCTGGGCTGCCCTATCGTATTATACTGTAGTTTGTGTTATATTCTGAGACAACTGTCCTCTAATTGGTGTTCAATTCATTTTAGACTTTTAATGAGCTGTTAATGAGTGGAAAATATTGAATTTATGGTACAGTATTCAGCTCTGGATCAAATTTCCTAGTTATTGATAAATGCAAATAAGTTATGATCTCAAGTTATGTTATTAATATCGTATATGAAATATAAATTTAACTTGATCTTATAATACATTTGAACCGAAAATTAGCTCAAATTTCTCCATGCTAATCGTCATTAATATGTTTATGTTCATACTATATTCATATTGCATCCATTTGAAAATAATACAGAAATATAGTATCATGAATATTGAGTCATTTTTAATTATTACATACAAAACATGAAATAATTATTTATCAGTATTAATGAGTAATTATTTATTAATAATAATAATATAATTATACTGTACCAGAATTAAATACTGTATTAAATGAGAACTTCAACTTTTACGGCCTTTTTTTGTTCATTTAAAGTTATCTATAAAATAGTTTTATATAAACATGATAAGTTCATACAAAAAACTTAACTGATAGGCTTTCTTTAAGAAAGCTATCTCTAAATACAAATATATGAATAATTTGATGAGTAATTATGAATAATATGGGTCAACTAAATAAGGTTTAAATATAATGAATCAAATGATTCATATATTTATATTTAGAGATAGCTCTTTCTTAAAGAAAGCCTATCAACTATTTCCAATCAATATATTTTTAGTATTAATCATTGATAAAATAATGCAGTCTATTTTAGATTATTATGCGACCTTAATATTGCCTGATTCATTTCATTTTTAGTTTATAATATACTATTATATATGATTATATACAGCTATGGACAGGCATAACTAGGACAGGTTTTTGTTAGATTACTTCAAAACCGCAAATTCTATCTTGGTTCTGACTTCAGGATCTTGTTCTCAGATAAATTATACGTAATTTGGTATATAAATTAATATTTCTATCTTACCCTGTTATTTAGATATTTAAAGTTAAAGTTTAAAGTGGAAAATTTTTGATTTTCTCATAGAAAATATAGGCCATGTCGATTTAGCCCCCAAAATTACTGCCCCCAGTTTTGACAGTATATTCTGCCCCAATTTTAACCGTACTTTTTAATTTACTAATTAATTTTTATTTAGTTAAATTTATTTAATTTTGAAATATAATATTTATTATCTTATATTGGTAATTTTTAAATTTAAAATAATAAGAATATATAATTTAAATTTGAATAGTAATGCAATATAGAAAAGCAAATTTATATAATTAAATAAAATTTATAATTTTGATTAAATTATTCTATTTGGTAATAAAGATAATATTTAAATAAATAACAAATGAAATACAAAAAAATGCAATGAAAAACTGGGGGCAGAATATGCTAAGAAAACTGGGGGTAGAATATACTGTCAAAACTGGGGGCAGTTTGTGTGTAATTTTGATGAAAATTTCATATGAAAAATTGGGGGCGTAATTTTGGGGGCAGTAATTTTGGGGGCTAAATCGACATGAAATTTATGATTGTATTAATAATGTTACATAATTGCATGTCTCATTGCATCCAAGACTTAAGTTCTATAAAGTTGTGCGAGAACAGTTACAAAGTTTTTACAAATCTAAAAATTAAAAGCAATAAGGTTGTACAATGAAAATGTGTGATCATGCCCAGAATTGTCTGAAATGCCTTATTCTAACAGCTCTTATCAAACTCGGGACACAATAAGACTTAAAATTATTGAAATCATGTTTTTAATGAATTTTAAACCAAAGGCACGAATAATATCGGTTGCAATAACAACGTCGAGGACACAGTCCATGGAGTAAAGGAGGGTCGACTGAATTGACGGCCATACTGTCCAACACTAAAGTCATACTCACCTCAAATCTGCCGCGAACTGAACCCCAGGGCTCTAAATGCAAACAAGTGACTGAACTGATCCAGAAGTTTGCCGACAATAAGACTGTCTTTTACCTGACCTTTAATGTCATATTTATTATTATTATTACAAATATTTACAATTATTATTTCGTAATAACACCAAATAAGATATTAAATAAATATTTCTAGTTAATTCACTAAATTAATTAAATTTCTAACTTTTTAAGCGATCATATTTTCAGGACTATGTTTTATGATGAACTTCATCTGGGGCATATTACATTAAACTTGTAAATTAACTTGATTTTAATGCTTAATTACAATAAATATTTTCAATTAATTATATTTGAGCCATATTTTGTTAATATTTAATTTTATTTACTTTAATGATAACTTTGAAATATAAAATGAGTATTCAGTATTTAAATTTATATTTAAGCTTGAATTTAAATCAAACATAAATAAAACTATTATAGGGATTATATTAATTTCTAATTAATTCTATTGTTTTCGAGAATTAATTAGAAATTAATATAATCCCTATAATAGTTCAAAAGGATTATGAATAGAATATAAGATTAAATTGTCTTGATAATGTTTTTCAAATAAATTATAATTATCTGTATTACAAAGAAATTGTTCAAAAACATTCACAAATATGAGATTAATAACAAAGTACAGTGCATACTACTTGATACTTGTCCCTGTACTTATATCTGAAATAAAGATGCTTCATATACTAATTGGTCTTAAATAGTAATTGAAATCCTATTAGTGAACGCTTTATCATATCTTACAGATTATATTGAGAAAGTAATTCATAATATAAACTATATATAAAAGAATTAATTTTTTACAAACTTTATAATTAATACAAAGTTTAAAAGTTGTGACAATAAAATGTTGTCTGTTTTGACTATATTTGGTGTTATACTAGTATTTGGTCAGTGTTTGGCTCAAGACATCCCGTGGGAACCCCGGGCCAGAGGTGACAAGTTTTGGGTGGACAGACACCATGAACTCATCAATCAGACGGTCGCACATAAAACTGATGAGAAGATCATATTCGTGGGCGACTCCATCACACAGGGCTGGCAGAGCCTCGGGAAAGCAGTTTGGGACAAGTATTACGCGCCCAGACATGCATACAATTACGGCATATCGGGGGACAGGACTGAGAATGTGATCTTCAGAATACGAGATAAGGAATTCGATGGACTCGACCCCAAAGTGGCTGTCCTTATGATTGGTTAGTAATTATAAAGTTTTGTTAAATTTAATTATTAATGAGTTGTGAAACTAAAGGCACGAATAATATCGGTTGGAATAATACGGTCGAAGACGCGGCACATGGAGTACAAGAAGTTCTTAAGGAATTGACGGCCAAAATGTCGACCACTAAAGTCATACTACTATCCAATTTGCCGCGAACTGAACCAAACGGCTCTAAATGCAAACAACTTAATGTTTTACTCAAGAAGTTTGACAACAATAAGACTATCTTTTATCTGGACATGTGGTCACACTATGAGACTCCGGATGGCAAACAAAAGTTTGAGCTCTTTGTCGATAAACTGCATCTCAATGAGAAAGGCTTTGAAGTTTGGCAACAGACTATGGATCCATTGCTAAACAAATTGGACCCAGCACTTTAATAAACTATTTATGAGATTAATTAACTTTATTAAAGTATATAACAATATTAATACCTTAATACAAACATTAATTTGAATAAAATGAACATCTACATGTTTATAAAGGTGTGAATGAAATACGTTTATTACTACTGTATGAGTAATATTGCATAATAATTATACTGTACACTTATTTTAAACCATAAAAACATCTTTTTCCTTATACAACTGATAAAGTAATACAGTATACATCTAATTATAATACTAATGAATCATAATATTATCATTTAAATTGTCCAGTTTAAAAGTAAAAATAATAACTGTATTTTAATTTAAACAATTTGCATTATGGCATATAGTACAACCAGTATATAATTATGCAT